AATTCAAACTCTGTTAAATAAAAAGGAATTTATTGGTCACATAAGTGGAAAGTCTGGCTTTAGGCACAACTGGATCCAGTACTCAAATAACATCATGAGGACTCAGTTTCTCTTCCTCGCTTGTCTCTGCTTCCCATTGTGTTGGTGTCAGTCTGAGGCTTCACAGTGGCAGCACGACGGCAGCAGCAGGGCCAGCCTCTCATATTGAGGACCAGTGGGAATGCAAGCTCTCCTTCCCAGCAGCCCCCAGCAAAAATCTCCTTGTAGACTCTGATTCGGTCACATGCCTGTACCTGAACCAATCACTGAGGCTGGAGAGATGCAACTTGCTGACTGGCTCGGGCCTGAGCCACTGCTCCACCCCTACAGCCTGTGGGTAGAAGGGGCAGGCCGCTTTACCAAGATGCAATGAGAGTGGAAAGGGGGTTGGTTCCCCAGAGGGAAGCTGGGGTATGGTACCAGGAGGGTGAATCGACCGTAGGTGACCAGGACAACAGATGTCATCCAAAGGAAATTAATGGTCAAAGAACTAAGAAGACAAATACTTTTCAAGTACTCTCAAGCCCTCTAAAAATATAATTGATGGGCTAGTTTTACATCCCTACAGACCTTTGATAGGTAACGTGTTATGGGCCCATTTGGGATAGCCGGTACTTGTTTAAGAACAGTAAAACAACATCTTTAAAGCGGTCTGCAATCGACACTTCCCAGGAATTCCGACTGGCCTTGTCCCCTTCCTGCCCTACTTGCTGGCAGTTTGACTGAACTGACCAAAGGTGCCACAGCTGGAAGGGCCTGTAGGTACCACATGCTGTTTTCACTGGAGTCTTCCCTTGGCCAAATGGCTATTGAAAGAAGTTTGACTCCAGTGGTCCAGCCTTCCCATTCTCCCCTCAAACCCTCCCATGCAAACCTCCTCTTGCCCTTGAATCTCCAGTAGTTTCTTTCTCTCTCACCACCACTCCCTCCAACTCATTACTAAAACCAGTTCTTAGTAAAGGCTTTGTCATCATTTACACATGTTTATGAATAAGCATCAAATCAATAGTAACATTTCTCAGGACTATTTGCATTTTACCTCTGAGCCTTTTCAGTGAAACAAAAGGCTCTGTCCTGCACCCTCCACCACTAATCCCAAAAGGTACTTCTGGTGACAGAGAGCAAATGGCACTCTCTGAAAACCAGCAACAAATGTCCACAACCTTCTCTGAAACCCTCACCCAGCCACACTGCCTTGCCCAATGCGTTTTTTCTCAAGTCTAACTTCACCCATTCAATGCTGACATTCAGTCATTACCCTCTACTATGTCAGGGAAGTTTCTTGCATCCTTTCATCCATTTATTCACTCAACAAACTTTTCTTGAGTATCCACCATATCTTAGACACTTGGGTATACCAAGACAACCTGGGCTCTGCCCTCAAGCAGCTTGCAGCTGAATTTTAATGCTGGAAAGATCACCTTCACCATCAGATTTTTAACACAAGCAAAGCCCAGCGCAGTGGCTGGTATACAGAACATATTCAATAAATGCTGCTTCCCCTTCTCAGGGCTGCACTATATGAACACTGCGGCGGAACACTGGAAATTTCCTAAAAACGCTTTCCAGGTGGACCGGAGTGCCAGCAGGAGTGGGTGGAGATGATGGTTTCTATCTTGCTTCAGAATGTCGTGATTTATTTTGAATGTTCCAAATGTCAGGTTGGAGATTCATGCAAAGGAGAGGGGCTTATTCTAACCAGATCAGGGCTAGAGGCAGCCCAGAACACTGTCTCCATGGTGCACAGCCCCAGACAGTTTGGAAACAAACAGAAACCCATCCAGAGGAGGGAGACTGACAAAAGCAAAAACAAACAACAGCCAAGAGATGGAAAACTCACGAGGCGGGGCAGGGTGGAGAGGAGGGGAGTCAGGAGAGAGCCGGGTGGGGCTGTGGAGGGGGTTTGGGGGGGCATGGTCTTGGGTTTTTTGTGAGGAGCTGAATCCAGCCCCACCCACCCCCAATAATCACCATGGCAACAGGAGGGTGAGTGCGGCTGATTCCAAGCCAACACAAACCTCTGGGGTTTAACAGCGGGAATGGGCTCAGATGCATGGGGCCATGTTCTAAAGAAAAAGATCTGAATTGGGCTCTTTAAATCACAAACTCCCCACTCACTCCTGGTTTTGTAGGCAATCAGTGTTTAATGAAATGAATTAATCAGAAACGACAGTGCACCACATCCCTGCTCCACGTCTCTCTCACATACACAGATACGTTTATCCAAAGGTCCACAGAGTAAAATCCCTTCCCTTTGTGGTGGAAGCTGACAGCTCAGGGGATTCTTGGCGCTTCCCAGAAGCAGATACCTAACCTGGGGGAAATCTACTTGCCACCTCTCCCAAAACTTTCCCCCTTGACAGTGGCATTATGACAGAGCGCTGATGGATTGCTTTCACAAGACCAAGGCCGCTGGGACTCCGATGTGAGGTGGCTCCAAATGCACCACCATCTGGTCTCCTCTGCCATCAGCTACTTGGTGAAGCTCTTGGCCCAGAGGGGGTTTGTCAGCAAGGAGCCTGCTTCTTCCTCCTCCATGAAAAAGTGTCTGCATCGTGAGCCTCCTGAGCTTCCAATCCCTAGCACCCAAACTTGCCCTTTCCTGGAGCTGGTTGGCCTGTGCGGTCTGCCATAGATGTGGGGTTGGTGCCAAACAGAACTGTGAGTCTTCAGGGTGTGTCTCCTTCCTGCCTCTCCATTCCCAGGTACCCAGAGATCTCACACTATCCCCATTACCATAGTCCAGGGCTGACTCATCCATTAGGCATAGCAGACACAGGGCCTAAAGTCCACATTACAAAAATGTTTTAATTTCCTTTAAAATCAGAAGCAAAAAGCATAAGTTTTTAAGTGGAACATTTTAGTATGTAATAATAATATATTCATCTTTATACCAACGCAGTCATAGAACATAATTTTAAATATTTTTTTATCGAGGAAGGGGCCCACGAAGGCAAAATTGCCCAGGGCCCATGAAAGTCACAATGTGCCCTGCCCTGTTCTTCCCTCCTGCCCCTTCTAACCCTCTAGACTCCAGGAATTCCCTTCCCCCATATCAAAATGTACCTGTTGGATGACCCCCGCCCCCAACTAGCCTGGGAGCTCCTGGAGGACAGGACCATTCTTCAACCATCCTCATGCCCCCACCATAAGCTCAGTGCCTGCCCCACAGTCACATGAAGTATTGCGTTACCTCTTTTTGGG